TTCCCTACAGTCTGAAATCAGACACCATTGAGGTAAAGATCACTGTCATTTTATCGTACGTATGGTTGGTTTGCAAGATGAAAAGTCTGGTCTTTTTTTAATTTTTAAAAACATAGGAAAGATAGTAAAAGAAAATTACTTTGAGGGGCTTTCCAGTAGTACTTAATGATAGTCTGACTCCTACAGCACAAGCAATATTAAGCAAACTGGTCTCTGCAGTGATATGAAAGGAAAACGGGAATGAGCTTGTTAGTGGAAATGTACACTTGAATGCTGACCATTTTTCAGACCACTTCATGAGCTGTTTTTGAGTGGGTATTCAGGACAATATGAAGTTCACAGTGCACATAATTTATTTATACAAATAAGCTGCTTTCCAAGAAAACAACCTTGCAAGGAAGGTACAGGAAAATTAGTCTTTGATACTTAAACTATTGAGAAAAGCTTTTTTGCCCAAAGCCTGGTATACCATTGCTCTATCACATTTATCATGGAAATAACAATTAAAGCCGTTGAAACTGTCAGCAACCATAAGATGCTTGTGACTTTAGAAAAAAGTTAACCAGAAATCAGCAAATTCTCTACTTGGAAAAGCTTTCAGGCTTGAGCTATTTCCCTAGTTAGCTCACAAACAAAAGGCTGTGTGTCTAGACTAGATTTACGCTCACCTGAAAGTACACAAGGAGCTATTCTGATTTATTCTGATCCCACAAAGGGTGCCCTGACACAAGTAACAAGTGGAGAGACACTGAATGGATATTTTGAATTTTGTACCACATAAGGAACACCAGGTAAGAGCACAAAGTGGCCCTTTCCATGACAGGCATATCACAGCTAGAGACAAAGCAGAAAGTTGAGTCAAAATAATCTAGAAATCCTCAAAATATAAATGTTTATTTAGCTACAATATTAAAAAGTACAATATAAAGATATAAAACATAGAAATCCCATAATTAATTCACATGCTAAAAGGATTAATTGACCAGCCGTAAGGAGAAGACTTCATGAAATTTAAGGACATCTTAGCCATAAGGGCTGTTTCATCAAGTTTCAGACTTGAAATATTGAACAACCATTGCAGAGAACTTGTTCTCCCACATCACCATAACTAGGAGAAAAAAAAAAAGAAAACCAAAAGCAACAAAGTCAGTGTGTCTACTGTTTTTGGAACATAACAAAGAATGCCATCCTATTTCCACACAAGACTCTCAATATTTCTTTGTATCCTAGAACTTTTAACAGTGACAGCAAAATCTTATGATTACTCCTTGAGAGTGCATTCATTGGCCATTGGCCAGCATACTATATTGCTGGTGGGAAAGCAAGAGGAATTTTTGCCTCTTAGAGCATTTAAATAAGAAGTTAAACTAGACTTGGACTAAGACCGATTAGATTACTTCACACAGGCATTCTATTTTCCACATTTGAGACAGTTTTCAGACATTTCAGACTGCTGCTAAAGCAACAAGAATTCAAGTCCTTTACACGGATGAGTGAGATATCTTGTTGGGTCTTCATATGCTACACCAAATCTTCAGGGCATTTATAATTAAAATAATAAGCTTAAAAATTCAGAAGGCACTTACTCAATAGTGGAGCACAAAGAACAGGTAACTGCATTACAGCAGCTGCAGAGCCTGCTGCAGTTCTGGCACACAAACCGGTCACACTGTGTACACGCTTCCTTGACATCAGCAGTCCTTACACACGATGAACAGGCTTTGGAAACTCCCACAGGTGGAACTGCTTGGAAAAGATGCAATTAAGGAGAGATGTACTTCACAGCAAAACAGAGAAAGCAGCTGGAAGTTCTAAGAACTGCAGAGTGTGGTACTCCACTCAGCATTGCAGCCACAGGTGGCAGCACTTTGCAGAAGACACTTGCAGGCACCAGCACGGGGCCCACTGCTTATTGCTTTGTTGGCTCCTTTTCTGCTCAGTGGCAAGACCACTGCGAAACTCTCAAGCCGACCACACATGCCAACAGTTTCTAAATACGTCAGTGAAGCTCAAGTCTAACACTTCCTTTAAAAAAACAGAAAATAAAGCGGACCTACGTTGGTACACCCCCCCCAACG